TAAGGCGGGGAGAAAGGAGAAGGAAAGGGGAGGGCTGGGTAGCTCTCCATTCAACCACACAGCAGCCAGGCGCGCCCCTGGCTGCGGCTGCCGCCGCTCCATTGCGTGCGGAGCTTTGTTCCGAGCGTGTCTGCGCGTCCGTGCGCGCCCCAAACCCCGGAGACACCGCACGGATCTGCGCTCCTGCGCAAGTGTCCCTCGGGGGGGGGGGGGGTACGGGAGATTAACGCCCTCATCAAGCACTCCCTCAACACGTGCCCACGCACGCGCGCGCGCACACACACACACACGCACGCAGTCACACCACGCACGGATTTCTTGTTCTGTGTATCAGTTTACACTTGGTTGCTGAATAAACAAAGCAAACATATGCCACATTCTCGCGACAGATGGTTCAAACCAAGGGCTACTTCAGTTTCCTTTCTCCAGCAGTGATAACAGTCTAAGTGACAGGATGGACTAAGCGTAAGTGTAATTAAGTCTTTCAATGACTTTCTTCACTTTCAAGAAGTTTATTCTTGTATTTTCACACACAAACTAGAGAAATCCCTGGAAGGTGGTCTTGGTGAGAAATGCGGAAATGTGAATTAAGAGTTTATCTGACCTGTGTTTCTCCATGGACACCCGAAGCATTAAAACCCTTCTTCATTCTAGTTTATAAGCTGGGGTGAATGTCTCCTTTCGGAAAATCAGTCATTGAAATTACAATTTTCAATGGATGGACTAGGGCCTGTCATTGCTGACCACATGGGGTGGTTGCAGGACAATGAGATTTCAGTTAAGGACACCATCCACATCTTTTGTAACTGTTCTTTGTTTAGAAATGATTCTATGTTGTCCTAATATTCCACAAGCAGCTTTTAAATCAAATCTTAATAGGATGCAGGGAGGGTAGAATAAAAGTTCTCCAAATGTAAAATAGGGGAATTTTTTAAAAACATTTATAGCTTCAAGAATATTTCTGAACCATTCACTCACATTGATCTTCATTAGGTTCTTACTGATGACGAAAACAGAGTTCAAAAAAAATGCCACAAGATACTATAACTATTGTCCAGTACAATAGACACTAGCCATATGGCTATTTCAATGAAGAATAAATAAAATAAAAATGCTATTCCTCAGTAGCACTAGCTACATTTCAGGTGCTCAGTAGCCCTCTGTGGCTAGTGGCTACCATATTGGGCTGCACAAATATAGAACATTTCCATTGTCACAGAAAATTCTATTGAATAACACTACTCTATAGCGTTGGTGTGAAATCAGTTAATGTGGTGTATATATAAAGTTCATAGAGTAACAGACAGAGCAGGCATAAAGTGAATGCTTTATAAGCAGCAGTAGTAGTTGTGGTTGTTGTGATGATGATGGTGATGATGGTGATGATTGAGGAAGGTGGAGAATGCATGAAGACACAGCGCACTGCTGTGTCTCAGGAGATCAGTGGGCAAAAAAAGCTAAGGAAAGAGGAATGAATGATCTCCTGACGATAGCTGTGTATGGAAAGATGTGGCCCTTACTCTATTCTAAAACTTCTTGTAGTAGGAGCTAATTTTTTAAGTGTCTGTTTTACTACTATATCTGCTACCTTCTAAAAGTGAGAGAAATACACGGCTGGAAAGCCCTCGGAATATAGAGGATAGAAACGCAGTGTGAATTACCGTATTAGTATTATCTCTGTTTCCTTGGAGCTTATCTGTTTCCATGTGTACAGGTCTGATCTCAGGATGAAAGGTGACATTGAAGTATCAAATATTATTAATAATTATAAAGACTCATGCCATCCTCTGTGACATGTTTTCTCAGTGGGAAATTGGTTTTAATGCTACAAAATTAAGTTCAATCCACCCATAAGCACGTGAAGTGAGCAATTTTCTTGCATTTCTTGATGTAAGTGTATTTTCGCAAGTTAACAGATGACTCATGGCGAGTATGACAGTTTTATTCTATGCAGTATTTTGTCTCCTACTCTCATTGCCTTGGCCCTATAGAGTGCAATATAAAATACATTCCTTTTGTCAAATTATACTGCTCAAAAAAATCACTTAAGTTTTTTTTTAACTCAAACTAGTCCATCAAAGTTTTTGACACTAGACAGTTTCACAGGCTTACCTCTGTAGCAGCTGTACAAAACCACTCACTGTTACCTAAACGTGCCATGCTTTTGTTTTTTTCTTTTTGCTGCTACATCTTTGCCCACACTGTTCCATCTGCTTCAATATGCACTTCGTCCTGATATGTGAAGATCTATCTCAGCTTCAACAGGCTAAGGATAGCAAGGACTCTGGGTAGGAAGAATAGTTCTCTGCAGTGTGCATTCTCGTGGACCTGTTGGAATCTTTATTACAGCTGTTGTGACAGTACATTGGAGTTGGTTGCTCTACCTGTATCTTCAACTGGAATGTGAGTTCCTTGAAGGCAGGAAGATGTTCTATTCATTTTATTTTTGCATCCCCAGCATTTAGACTGATAACTGACACACACTCACCTCCAATAAATGTATATAGATTGCATGAATAATGAGTGATACTGTTTCTCCTTTTCCTCTGACACAATAATTCTACTGAGAGGTTTACATAAAATCCCTTTACTATAAGAACAATACTGAATATAAGTACCTCATGCAATTACTGGTATTGCTATTCCAATAATAGTATCAAATATATATTATTCCTTTGGGGATTTGACATTTACTTTTTTTTTTAAAACAAAATCCATTATTGTAATAGAATGCTCTTTTTCTGGTTCACTTTAATAGTAACATATGACATATTTCATTCCTGGGAAAAGATAGCTTGCCTTAGGTCATATTCTAAGGCATAAAGCCAGAGGCAGAGTAACATTCCCACCTGAAGTTCTCTAATCATCTAGAAATATGTCTCTCTTTCTGGGAGAGAAGGATTTAGAAGGGCCAGATTAGAGTTACCCTGGAGCCTTCATCCTCAAAGGCAAATTTTGAAAAGCTAAGTTGACCCAAAAGTGTTAAAAATTGTTTTATAAACACACAAGACCTTGTGTAGTCTTTTAGGAAAATGAGAAAATAGTAATCATCCAAACCCGGAAGGTTGGTATAAGGGTCTATATGCTGGGGCAGATCTCACCTTCTAATACTGTGCTTCAACATTTGCCCTTTGGCGATACAGGAAGAGCCAGTCACTCTCAGATTTCTGAGCCCTTTTCCAGGCTGACTATATCAAGATGTGTCTTTTGAACATTATTTGCAAATGGAAGCTTCTCATTGGCTGTCAAGGTGCCTGACCCCTAGGAACCTATCTCCTCCTCCTTAGTTCTCAAGTCATTTTCATTTCTTAGCAGTAATAAGCCAACGCAAGGAGTTTAATGCATTTGTGAAAGAATATTGCATTTCGTGAGAGTTGAAGTCATTTGTACTTTGGCCTTATGCCACAGAATGCATTCAAGGTGTGCAGCCCTGATGAATTAAAGGGCCTGTCATGCCTTATGGCTTGGATAGAGGGCAAAAGATAACCCCATCATGTGCAGGGGACTTGCAAGATTTCCTTCGCAATTGTCAAAGTTGCTGGATTAAAAGCCCTGTACATTTCATTCTTCTTTATCCAGAAAGGATGGGGAAAGGATGAGGAAACACCTCTTCTCTCCCCCACCCTCCTAATAAGCCCAAAACCCATTCCAGAGGGACTGTTCCTTCACAAGGGCCAGAGGGAAGCTTAATCCCCAGCTTTGTCCAGTAATTAGCCTCTCTCTCTCTCTCTCTGGAGGCAGCAAACACAGATGCCGATTCGGACAAGCTTTGGGACGTGGAATGAAAACAAGACTGAAAACACTGACTCATTTCTTCAGAAGCCTTTTAGCAGCCTTTAAGACAGTAAAAACTTCTGAGTTCTATTGCTATTCATTAGGTCCCAAGTGGTGGGATGGGGCCTCTCCCAACAGGGGTGAAGC